GATTATTCTTCTTTTGGAAGAAGGGTATACCACCAGGGAAATCGCAGAAAAAGAAAAGGTCTCTCTAGCAACTGTCTCAAGGACAGGGAAGAGGAAAAGGGAAACTGAAAGCCTCGAAGACTGACCTAGGAGTGGGAGACCAAGAAAGTTCACAAAGAGAGAGGAGCAAAGGATGGTCAGAAAAATAGCAAAAAACAAATGTTCTACTGTCGTAGACATCCAGAAAGACCTCAAGGAAGAAGACAAAGAAGTCTCTGTCCAAACAGTGAGATGTGTATTGAAAAGAAGTGGCTTGAAATCTAAAATAAAGTGCAAGAAACCATTCCTTTCCAAAAGACACAAGCTTCAAAGACTAAAGTTTGCCCTAAATCACAGGGGATGAACCATTGAAGACTGGAGAAAGGTTGTATGGTCCAATGAAAATAAATTTATGATCTTTGAATCAAATGGAAGGGAATATTGTTGGAAAAGGCCTGAAAAACCACTCGGGGATAGGCATGTCAAACCGACGTTAAAATTTGGAGAAGGAAACATTATGGTCTGGGGATGTTTTACATCACAGGGTATTGGGAATCTTTGTTGGATCCAAGAGAAAATGGACTCAGAACTCTATTGTCAAATACTCGAAGAAGACTTTTTGGGAACCTTGGACTGGTATGGAATCAGATCAAGGGACGTTATATTCCAACAAGACAATGACCCTAAACACACTTCAAGAATTTCAAGGGAATGGTTTTCAAGGAATGGCATTAACGTCCTTGAATGGCCTGCGCAATCGTCAGATTTGAATCCGATAGAAAACCTTTGGGAAATAATAAAGAAAAAATTGAGAAATGTTTGTGTAAAAAATAAGGGAGAATTATGGGTAATAATTGAAGAAGTTTGAGGAAGAATAGACACTTAAACATATAATAAATTAATAGACACTTTACCTCAAAGAATTAATGACATAATAAAAGTAAAAGAGGATTATATCCGATGGTAAATAAAATTCATTAAAACAAGTACTTATTATTTGAAAAGAAAAATGGTAAAAGGATGAGATGATTCAGTTATATATCAATTTTTGAAAACAAACAGAATTGAGAAAATTAGTATCCTAAAAGAAAATAAACTGTTACAGGTTAAGATAGATATGAACTCTGAATCATTGAATCAAGAAAAATTGATAAAAGAAAATTATAAATACCCCAATAAAATCCTCAAAACAATATAAAATTTTGAAAATAACATCACAAAAATGACTGCAATAACACTCTTCGGAAAAAATCTCATATTGACTAGAGAATTTATAAGCATTTTGGATAGAGATGATAAAATAACTATAAAAGAAATGATAGAAATCATCAATAAGGTGGAATATTGTACCCATGGATTAACAGGAAAACTTTTATATCAGGATAGTAAACTTATTCTTAAATATTTAATTAGGAAAAACCCTGAGGATTTTGAAGCCATCATAGTAAAAATCATGGAAAGGAATAATATATTAATACAGGAAAAAATCAAGAATATCGGAACTATGATAAAAAATATGAAAAAACTCACAGGACAGGAGGAAAAG